CGTACAGGGGCAGCTCCTGGTAGGGGTTCACGGACACCAGCACCTCACCGATGTACGTGTAGATGTGGCCCTTCTCGAACCTGGCACAGGCAGGGCCAGTCCTCAGCGCTCGGGGCCTCGGGGACACACACCTAGGTCCCGGGGCATTGGGCCCAGGTGGGAAGCCTTGGGGCCCTGGCCCACCCGCAGGGCTGAGAGTAGACGAGGGAGTGGGGGGGGGGGGGAGGGGGGTTGCCTGCTGACTTGAGCCTTCCTGGTGCCGTTTGCCGGGAGTCGCACCCCACACAAGGTGGTGGTGGGATCCAAGCTGCTCTCCACGGGGATCCTGATGTCACGGGAATCATGACTACCCACTTTATTAAGGGACTGACTTGCCCCAGGCCTCGCTGGCCAAGGCAGAGCTGGCAGTGTGGGAAGCTGGGTTGAGGACCGGAGCAGATGGGGGTGGGAGGTGGAGGGAGGGGCCTCCAGCTGTTTCCGCCTCAAGACCTGGGCGGGGACCCAGAAGCAGAAGCGACCCAGCCCAGCCCCACCCAGACAGCAGGGACTGGGAGGGGTGCCACCCCCCTCCCCCCGGGCACCTCCTCAGAGTTCTGGGCGCTTCCCTGCAGGAGCCTAGTCACCCGGAAGGGTGCCTGTGTGCATCATCCCTCCCTCGACTCTTCTGCCCTGGGAGGAGCCTGCTGCCCTGACGGACCCGCCCTGCCCCTGACAGCCGTCCCGGGTTCCTCTTCCTCAGCTGCCTCAGACGGACATGCGAGTTCCCTGGCTTGGCTCCCTGCACACCCGGGACCTGCTGGAGACAGACTCTCCCATCTGCAAGCTGTGTGGCCCCAGGATCGGGGTTCCATCGTTAATACGGAGATGGTAATACCTGTCTCAGAAGCTAGTTTATAGGAATGAAGTGAAATCATGCTTAGCTCTCTGCCCCCAAAAGAGCAGCTCATTTCCTGTCTGACTCTCCATCCCACAGCCCTGACCTTGGCTCAGGGCCCGCCTGTGCCTGACTTCAGCAATCGGGGGTCAGTGGGACCTGTCCCCAAGCTCTGCTCCCCCTGGCTGTCCAGGGATGAAGCCAGCTCCTGGTGCCACCACCGACTCCTCCCTGCCCTCTGCCCTCTGGCAAATAGGGCCCCGTGTCACTTCTACCGGCCATGCCCTGAAGCACCCCACATGCCCCCCTGAGAGTGTCATCTCAGCTTGTCCACCTGCACCCCCAGGGTGGGCCCTGACCACTTCCCTTGGAGCCCCCAGGGCCCAGCACAGCCCCACTAGGGGGACGGAGCATCCACCCGGTCCGGGGCCTGGCACCTGCCAGGAGGAGGGGTCAGGAGGCACCTGGGCTGTGTGGGAGGCCCGGGTCTGGGAAGCCTGCTCTAGCACTGGCTGGTTGCCCTGGCCCTGAGGCGACAGTCCTTCCTGTCCCAACGTCCCCCTGCAGTCACGCAGACAGCGGGCTGGGACTGGCGGAGACCAGCGGGAGTGGGGATGGGGAGAAGGGGAGCCCCTACCCTAGGTCTACCTGAGCTTCAGGTTCTCCATGAAGTCTTCCATGGTCACTTGGTCCAAAAGCACAAAGTCAGGCTTGCCGCACTCAGGGCCTTCGTCCTCCATCCTGCCGGCGGGAAGCACCCAGGCCAGGTTGCCCCGACCTTCCTGTGCAGAGCAGCTCAGGGGAGGGGTGCTCTCGCATAGGCCCAGCCCTCCCTCCCGCAGCCAGTGTGGTGAAGTAGGAAGTGGGTTCTTGTGGCCCCAGGGAGGGGTTGCCCTCCCTGCCTGCCGTCCCCTCCCAAGGGGCTCTGAGCCGTGCTTCCTGGCTCCCCTCAGGGCGTGCCTCACGGTCGAAACTCCGACCCTCTATGATCTCACCCTCGCCCCAAGCAGCCGTATCTCTGCGGTCCCCAGCCCTGCTGCATCCGAGCCACGGGTGGGACCCTGAGCAGGGTTTTCTTGACGTGGCAGTGGCCGCAAAAGCCGTCAGCTCTCAGACCTCAGCACTAGGCGGATTTTCGGTTAGGTACATTGCACCTCGACAAAAGGTGAACAAATGCCGATACCCAGGCCTTTGGGGCAGGAGCCTAGGCAGTACTCCTTCCAAGTGTGACCACGCTGCGATGTGAACCACAAAGCCAGCTTCCAGGCTTAGCCCGCCACAGCCACGGGGCGGGTGGTCTGGGTTCGTCATGCCGAGACCCAGTCTTGCCACTGGTCCAGGCTTCCAGATGTTTCCCAGAAGGGTCCTTTGTGTCCTCGGGGCCCGCCTGCCTGTCCCTCTAGTAGTGAGACCCAGGAGCTGCGCCAGGAGCCCTCCTGTCCCACCTTGGTCCTCACCTCCCAGAGGTGTGGCCTCCCTCCTCTCCGTGGAGCAGGCGGGCCCTTGACAAGTGGCCAGACGGGCCAGCTCAGACTTCGACCACACGGCGTCCGGGTTGGGGACGCGAGGCAGTTCTCTCTGATCCCTCCCCTCGCACAGGGAAGACAGCGCATTTCCCAAGTTTGAGTCATCCGTGTACTACCTTTGCGATTCTCTACTCAAAAAGCTGGTTTATTTAAGAACTTTCAGTCGTCACTTTTTTTTTTAACCTGAATGAATAAAAGAATTTATTCTATGACATTTAGGGTCTAGACTAGAATACAACTTGGGGTTCATTTTAGCTCGAGACTAGAATAAAATTTCTAACCAAGCGTGATAAAAAGTCTATTTTTTTAAATTAAGTTTTATTGGAGTACAGCTGCTTTATAATGTGTTAGTTTCTGCTGTACAGCGAAGTCAATCAGCTACGCGTATACACAGATCCCCTTTTTTGGATTTGCTTCCCATTTAGGTCACCACAGAGCATTGAGTGGAGCTCCCTGTGCTCTACAGTAGGTCCTCATCAGTCAACTCACTTTTTAAACTCTGAAACATTGTTTGATATGCAAGGGTTTTTTTCCTTCAGAGACTTTAAAACGGATACATATCTAATGAAATTGTAAAGTGCTTATTTTCAAACGCCTGATAAAACCAAGCCTCACAGCACTGCGCCCATTGTTCTGAGGGGACCCTCCCGTCCGGACCAGGCTTTGGCTCCACCCTGCGCCAGGCCTGGGGCTTCTCGTGAGCAAGTTCTGGTCAAGTTTCATCCTCTCAGTCTCTGAAGACCCCCTTCGCACCCCCCCCCCCCGCCCCGCCTCTTTGGCTGGTGCTTTTGAAGGGTTTTCCAAACCAAAGCTCAGGAGTATCTGGGGAGTTCTCACAGAGCCTCAAGGTTTCACTTCCCCAATCTCTGGGCCTGGGGTTTGCATTAAATTAACAAGCGAAAAGAATGATGCGGCTGTTCCAGTGAAACTTGAGACATTGAAACCTGAACTCAATAAAATTTTCACGTCATGGGACTTCCCTGGTGGCGCAGTGGTTAAGAATCTGCCTGCAGGGAACATGGGTTCCAGCCCTGGTCCGGGAAGATCCCACATGTGACGAAGCAACTAAGCCTGTGCACCACAACTACTGAGCCTGCGAGCCACAACTACTGAAGCTCATAAGCCTAGAAACTGTGCTCCGCAACGAGAAACCACCGCAGTGAGAAGCCCGCGCACCACAACGAAGAGAAGTCCCCACTCGCCACAACTAGAGAGAAAGCCTGCATGCAGCAATGCAAAAACCCAACACAGCCAAAGCCAAAAAAAAAAAAAAAAAGCTTAAAAAAAAATGTTCATGTCACAAAATAGTTTTCTTTAGGTTTTTTTTTTTCCATGTAAAGATGTCAAGACTATTCTTAGGTTGGGGGTTGGCCCGTGGGTTAACCAGTCCCAGCTTTAGACCCTGCTGCTGTGGCCCTGCACTTAACTGCAATCAGGACTGTGCGCTCCACTGACAGCTTGCACAAAAGATTTGCCACCCTCATTTATCTGAGGCCAATGACAGCTCACCAGAAATCCTTCCCCGTCCTGGGTCTGGCTGGACCTCTGGGTCCACTGGTCTCAGGCAGGACAAATGGTGGCCCTATATGCAGTTTCCCCGGGGTAGGGTCTGACAAGTTGGGGCACAGTGACAGGTGGAACAAACAGGTGGTCAAGTGAGGATGGAAGGACAGCAGGGAGACGGCCCTGGGGGCTGAGGGCAGCAGTTTCACCCGCATTTTCCGACCTAGGTCGATTTCAAGATGCCGCCCTCTGTCCAGTCCCTTCGATGGCCCCTCACTCTGGCTCCCCTTGCTGGTGCCATTGCCCTCCGTAGCAGGTGCCCAGTCCCTTTGTTTCTCAGTTCCCCTACACAACTGTATCCACTTTAGGATTTGCTTTTACTTCCACCTCATCTCAGAGCATACATACTGTTGGGTTAGTTGCAGGGAAGGGCCCTGCCAAGGTGCCCTGGAGCGGCATGTACCCAGAGGCCACACAGCTCATCCTCTGACGGCGCTCAGGAGGAGCCGCCACCTCTCACTCTTCCTCATCTGCTCGGGAGGCTGTCAGAAGCGGTTCCCCTGGTAGCCGGCTCCGAGCTGTGAGGCTTTATGCCCCCGCCCCCTCAGGGTGTAGCTGCAGTGACTTGCGGTGGAGGGACCTTTGGTTACTTTTCCATTCACAACATCACTAACAAACTGAATGTAAACGTGGCTCACTGAATCTTTCCTAGCTCAGTCGGCCTTGGCCTAACCTGCTGACACTCCTTGAAAAGGTCGCAACGTTGGGCTAAATGGGCCTCCACTGTGAAGTTACTTATCAAATGAAGTAGATCATGAGGGTGCGTCACTCACCCTAAAGTGTCAATCCGCACGCTGTGGGCTCAACACTTTGGTGTGTAGCCGAGTCTGACCCACGCTGGTGAAGAGGACAAAAGACAGAGAACGCCATCAAGCCAGTGGAAGCTACTCCGGAGTGGCGCCCTGCCACCCACTCTGCAGTCTCAAAAGCAATGAGAGTGGGAGACACCCCAGGGGCCCCCTCAAACTTCGCTGAAACTTCTTCAAGGAGGGGAGGGCCCTCCTCCTCTTTGTACCTAACAGAAACAGAGGCTGGACTGAACTACAAATTTTACACCGTTTTATTAAATCCCTTGTTTCTCATTCAGGAGATGTCAGAGGGGCCTGGGTCCTGATGTACAGTGAAGATCCTTGTTCTGGAAGCAGACAACACGGCACCGAAACCTGGGGGCAGAGAAGGTCAGTCAGACATGCATACCTGGCCCTGAGCCACCCACACCTCAGCTGGGCCAAGAACCAGAAATTCCTGACTCCTGGAAGGGAGCAAGTGAGGATTTGAACCTGCTCAGAGAACTGTGGTGCAAAGGCCTGGGTTCAAATTCTGCTGCACCTTCACCAGGTATGTCAGTGTGGGCAGGTCACCACCTCAGTTCCCACTTCCTCTTCTATAAAAAACAAGGAAACAGGGGTTTCCCTGGTGGCGCAGTGGTTGAGAGTCCGCCTGCCGATGCAGGGGACACGGGTTCATGCCCCGGTCCGGGAAGATCCCACACGCCGTGGAGCGGCTGGGCCCGTGAGCCATGGCCGCTGAGCCTGCGCGTCCGGAGTCTGTGCTCCGCAACGGGAGAGACCACAGCAGTGAAAGGCCCGCGTACCGCAAAAAAAACAAAAAAAACCAAGGAAACAACTTGGAGGCCTGCTGTTAAAATAAAGTGATGTGAGGATATAGCCAGGGATTGTTGTAATTGCCAACTGCTACTGAGTGGCAATAAACAGAAGTGAACCTGAGTTCCCACTCCTGACTCCACCATGTGCCAAGAGGCCTCTGTGACAGAGACTTAGTAGCAGCCCACCCTTTCCAGGCTGACACACCACTGACCTAGGAGATTCTTGGGGAAAAGGCTGCAGGTTGAATCCAAAACCACAAAGGCAATCAAAATGCCATGCCAAAGAATCAGACCTCCACGAGTCTAGATAGTAGACAACTATCTCCACAAAGCAGTCTCGGCAGCTTAAAGACAATTCATCTGAGACTCAATCACCCGACTTAAAATATGGGAAGGTAAGAATAAATGGATGGCTTTGAACCTCTTGACAAGGGGACTTATGGAAAATTAACATATAAAATGGAAGTGAAGTGATTTGCTAGGCCAGACCCTGCACACTTACCACTGCAGAGTCCCCAGAAGAACCTGTCATCCTTGGAAGGGATCATCTCTCAGGTGTCTTCTAGCTCTCACATCCTGGGATTTCTGCTGCTGAAGCTGGAGCAGGAACACAGGGCAGAGTCTGTTGGGGGTTGGGAGGCTGTGCTTTCAGGAACTGTGAAGGGTCTGACATACCCCCCCCCCCAGCAATGGCACGTGACAAGGTAGCCCATCAGTTACATGGAAGCTGGTAGGAGACACAAAGCAAAGACAGTTGATTATTCACCACAGCAGTAGGTAGGCAGAGCACCAGCGTTCTCCACCAGCCCCATTTCCCTTCGGGTGACACAAGGGGGGCCAGAAGGCACTCACAATGCAGTGCGCTGCACCACAGAAAAGGCACCCTGAGCACAGGAAAGCCAAATCTTTTACAGTCGACAGTGGGCAGGCCTGCTCTCTGCTCTGGAAGTACTAGCTCGTACATACCCAGGCTGTCTATTTGAACATCTTTGAAAAGAAAGTCAAAGGGCAGCCAGTGCCTCGCTCCTAGGACTGCAGAACCATGAGGCTCACCGACAAGTGTCCCGACGGCAGCCCCAGGAGACTGGTGTGTTCAGCATTTGCACCTGGACTGAAGAGAGAGATCCGAATCTGCTAGAAGCCTTGACCTTCAAGGGAGAAGGTGTGGTGTGACCCCCGCCATGCAGGAGCATAGGAGCTGTGCTGCCCTGCTATGACCATGCTGGCCATATCCGTGCCTGTACCCAACAGACCTCGCCCCAAGGCAAGGCCCAATGGCATTTCCCTAGAACCGAAACTTCCTACCCGCTTCTGGATTCCATTCCTCCCTCCCTCCCTCCATTCCACCACTGCAGAATTTAGCCTTTGCTTCTCTTTGGTTTACCCGCAAATGGTAATGTCCCAAAGGGCAGGGCCCATCCCTATCATTCCTTTCTACTCTTTATTCCCTGCTGCGGGTCTAACTTCACCTTTACCACTCTCTCTGAGCTTCACTTTCAACTTCTGTAAGGCTTCTGTTTGAAGGATATAATAAAATAATACAATAAAACTGACCACAAGCCTGGAACAGAGCAAACACCCGAAATCCAAAACGACTTTGGCAAAAACATCAACATTCTCTAATCTGCCCGGTGCAATAGAGTAGCCACTTGCCAAATGTGGCTACTGAGCATCTAAAAATGTAGGTAGGGGGAATGAAAAACTGAGTTTTAAATTTAACCATATGTGTCAAGTGGTCACCATATCAGACAGTACAGGTCTGTATGCTGCCCAGCACACCAGATAGGGAAGGCAGCAGGCAACTGTCTGAAATTTCTATAACCTTGCTCTGGATGGAGCAGGGCAAGGCCTCAAACCATTTCAAAATTTTTCTTGCAAGCACTGTAGGAATGCACAGGGTCACTGCAGACCCAAGCACGCTGGAGGCTTGCAGCCCACATTCCTTCCAGCCCCTAAAGCTCTGGACAGACAGCCGTACTCCTACTGAGCACCAGCCGGGACCAGAAACTGGGACAAGAGATCACGGGTTGAATTAGGCCTACTTGGGTTTACCCACTGGACACAGATAACTGACCAATAGTAGGAAGGGAAGGACTCCGGACAGCAATCCCTTCTGGCTCAGGGAGTAAGGGAAGGAGCCTTGGGAGAGGCAGCTTTGTCAAGCAGTTGAAAGGACAGGAGTTAACTGTAACTTCATTCCTTACGACCCTGTAAATATCCTTATCGCCACCTCATTACACAAAATCGCCTTTTCTTCCACAGTCTTCGCAGAACTGTAGACCATGACACAAAAGTTGACTCTATCCTCATTTTACCCCATGAAATAATGGTGGAGAAGAACTGCGGGCCTAGTTCCGGGAATGGGGAGCTGGGGCCGGAGCAGCGTCACTTACCAGGCCATCTTACAGACCATCTGCTGCGGAGCAGTCGAGGGCCGTCCACCTGGAGGGGGCACGGGGTCAGCTCAAGCAAGGTCTCGTGTCGCCTTCCTAGTTCTCGCCCCTTGGGAGGCTATACCCACGAGCCCATTCCTCCTGGCGCTGCCTGCCAAGGCCGCATGTGTACTCCGAACGGGATCCTCAGAAGCTCGGTTAGAACCACCCTCGCGTTTCCCCTCCAACCGCAGGGCGGAACGGCCCAGGCCGAGCACCCGCAACGATCACCGGACCGACGGAGCCAAGCGCGGAATAACTTGGAGACGGCGCGCCCGCTCCAACTGGGTCCGGCGCCCCGCACCTCGCACCCCAGCAAGGCCCGCACGCCCTACGACCCTCACCTGGCCTCAGTAGACGGCAGACACCGCCTGGGACCCTTGATGGCACTGGATGGCCACGGCCCCCAGGAGCAGCCTCACCCCAACTGCCACCCATGGGTGCAGCCGCGCACGCTCCCGCCGCCCGCTGGCAGACGCACGTGGCGTCACGTGACCCGCGCGGCCCTGGGAGATGACGTCACGAGGGGCGCCAGGGCGAGGCTGGGCGCGCGTTAGCTGCGCCCCTTGGTAGTCCCTTGTGAGGCCGAGAGCGGAAGTCTAGTAAACCGGTGGAGGCGGGGCGCGCCGCGTTCCTGTTACCCCCGGGAGGAACTGGGGGACCCAGGAAGGTGGGGAAGCGGGCCTCGTAAAGGAACAGGAGGACGGCAGCCAGCGGGGAGCTGGGCGCGGCAGGCTGGTGCAGGCGGAACGTCGCACAAGTGAGAAGCTGGACGCTTGGTCCCTGCTCAGAATAGGGGAAGACGCCCCCTTTGCTTTTAGAACTGAATTCTCTGCCCTTTTCAAAGGAATGTCAATCCCTAATGGCTAAATATGCCCACGGCTAGTCTCACGACTCAGGATTGTTTCCCAAGGGCCTGGGAACACTCTTTCTGAAATGTTATTGTCAAGGGGGAGAAACTCTGATCTCCCAGTGTCCTGGGAGGCTAAGGGCCCACTTGTCACCTGACTCCAAATTGCCCTTAACTATACGGAAGAGTGGAGTTTCTTTCTGTGTTTGCGTCCCTTTTAACTGTGATGCGCATCACATTCTGTCTTTGTGGAGAGGTTCTCTGGGTTGCGAGGAAATTTGGGGTTTAAATATATTTCTTCCACGCAGGCAGAGGAAAGCGCATTGGAAGGTACTTAGACTGGAAAGGGCGTGGCTTGTTGGAAATACAGCTAAGCATTAACAGGATTGTAGAGTCTTCTCCATGTGGAGCAATGGATGAGAAGTACATATTCAAAGGTCTTGAATATAAGGCTACGAAAGCAAGAACTTGGTTCTGTAAAGAAAAGCTGAGTAATACTTGAAACTCATATTTTATGTATAGCACCTAGTAAATACATTCAAGCAGTTTATAGTATACAAATCCCATTATTTTGTTAAATGTCATGAGACAGATAGGGTGGGAACAGATTGCTCACATGGAGACTAACATTCACCCAAAGAGGTTAAGTGGCTTGCTCAAGGTCTCATAGACGGCTAGGGCTTGTTTTATCTCAGATCACTGCTCTGTCCATTCTGTCACTCTGCCATGATGTAATCGAGAGAACCAGGAAGGTAACTGGTTATGGAGGGTCAGAACATGGGTGACAGTGTGGGTGTCTATGTGTGACCAAAAAAGGTGGGCTTGCCAAGGACTAAAAGAGGACAGCTTTTTTCTGAGATGATAACCAACAAAATTCCTTAGAAAGGGGAAGATGTTCCATGGAAACTTTTGTCCAAGTAATAAAAAAGGATGCCAAAACATTAAAAACCACATAATCAAAGCTCAATTGCCTGGGCTTCCCCGGTGGCGCAGTGGTTGAGAGTCCGCCTGCCAATGCAGGGGACACGGGTTCGTGCCCCGGTCTGGGAAGATCCCACATGACACGGAGCGGCTGCGCCCGTGAGCCATGGCCGCTGAGCCTGCGAGTCCAGAGCCTGTGCTCCGCAATGGGAAGGGCCACAACAGTGAGAGGCCCGCGTACCGCAAAAAAAAAAAAAGCTTAAAGCTCAATTGCCTTATACTAGGAGGCTGCATGAGACTGGCACAAAGAGAGACAGACCTGTCAGCAATTTCTTAAGTACTTATCAGAATATTGAAAAGAACTTTTTCTAAAACCACATCTCCAAAGAGTAACTCCATTATTCTTCCAAGCCAATTGGGATTATGCCTGGAAAGAAAAGCAGAGATTTGGCTCTGAAAGAATACACAGAAAGCAATAGGAGCTTCCCCAGTGGCTCAGCGGTTGAGAATCCGCCTGCCAATACAGGGGACACGAGTTCGATCCCTGCTCCAGGAAGATCCCACATGCTACGGAGCAACTAAGCCCGTGCACCACAACTACTGAGCCTGTAAGCCACAACTACTGAGCCCACGTGCCACAACTACTGAAGCCTGTGCAGCTAGAGCTCCGCAACAAGAGAAGCCACCGCAGTGAGAAGCCCATGCACCACAATGAAGAGGAGCCCCTGATCGCTGCAACTAGAGAAAGCCTGCACGCAGCAACAAAGACCCAACGCAGCCATAAATAAATTTTAAAAAAACAGAAGGTAATAAGCAATGAGGTATCAAAGTAGGGCTTACAAGGTTTCTTTCACCGGAGGCACACAGGGTGGCTCTACTTCCAAGGGGTCATTATGATTTAGCGTTGGTTTGGTCCTTTATCATTTACAGGCCTGGAAACTGGATATTATAAATGCATTGAGAATTCACTTGAATCAACTCTAAAGAAATTCTTTTCTTCACTAATTAAGTCAATACTGGATTTGTCACATGCACAGCATGGTATGAAGTATTGCATGGCATATGTCGAAGAACAACTCAGAGACATCTAGGTAGTTATTTGCTAGCTATTTAGTTCTCGATGGGTGAGAGGGACAAAAAGGAAAAAGCTGCAGTCAGCCTTGGAAACAGTGAAAAGATTCACTTAAAAAAAATAAAGAGCTGGAATCTTGTAAAGATGTGAGTCCAGGAAACTGTCTTTGAACAGGTCAACTGAGGGTAAATTTTCAGTTGTTCAGGGATTTTTCGAAAACTCTAGCTAGGAAGCATCTGTACAAAGGTGTCTCCAGGTGATGTCAGTGCCTTTCCATCTTAGTCTGGCCTGGTGCACATCATTCCTTTCATTAGAACTCTCAGATACAACGAGGAATCCCACACAGTCCCTATCTTTACAGGAACTTAACGATCTAGTACAGGAATGTCCTAACATGGTTAACATCAGAGACATATGAATAAAGTGCTTTGGGAGGTGGGGAGGAAAAAATTTCATCCAAAGATTTAGTGGAAGAGGTGATACTTGAGCTGGGTGATAAAATCTAACAGGTAAGTCCACCAGGGACAAACCAGGTGTCCAAGGAAGTTTGTTTTATTAATCTCCTGCAACAAGGGAGAATCCCAGGGAATTCTGGGCTGCCTCTCGTTACAAGAGTAGAAAAGGGGTATTGTAGGGTTTGGGATTGCACTGAATAATTCTGAGGAGAGGAGAGGGGAAGTGAGGATCAGCTCTAGATTGCGGCTTTCATGAAGTGCAGGCGTTCAATAACTGGGTCCCAGTCATTTTTGTTCATGGGATGGGGCCACAGAGCAGGCTAGGGAAGTAAGTGGTAAGAAAGCAGTAATCACGAAAAAGAAGGAGGTTGTTGGGACACTTTACAGCCGAGGTGTGACCTTGGCAGAAATATTGTTCTCAATTAACACTGCAGCTAGCCTTATGTCTGTTACGAGAGACTGACTACACAGACAATGGTCCGACCATTTATAGAAATAGCATTCTGACCCACAAACCGCAGCAACCAGCCCAGGGAACCAACCCCTTCTCTACAGTAGCCCGCCCAGGAAGCTGGCTGTTGTTAAGTCAGACTTGGGGGGAGTCAGACTGCTATCTCTAGTGACAATCCAGGAAAGCAAATGATAACCTCCAAGCAGGCCAAATGGCCAGAACTTGGTCAATAAATTTACAGCTTCCCTAATTTTTGTTTCCACTTCTAAATTAGGACCAACCAGAGAAAGCCCTACACAGTCCTCCAATCAATCGCATGGATAACCCACTTCTAGGTAGCCCACCTCCAGCCTCCCCAGGCCACACCCCCGACTTTTTCACTAGGAAGCTCTCCCACTCCTCTGCCTGCCTTTGGGTCTCTGCCAGATGCACGTGATGGTGGCTGACTCCTTCACTATAGCCAGCTCTGAACAAATAGCCTTTGCCTGCTCTCATTTAGTTGGTCCTCCTTCATTTCCAAAATTATCACCATCTGATTATTAGTAGGCAAAATTTTACTTGAAGCCTGGACTTGTGTGTGTGGAAATGAGGCAAAGGCATTCTAATGGGTAGGAGCAGCCTGAGGAGGGTCAGCCTGGGATCAGGTTGTGAAAAAATAGGGAATACATATATTAGTCTCTACCCCGGGTTCCTAGCACAGAGCTCCCACATCGCTTGAAATTTCCTGGGTGAAAGGAATGTCTTTGTTCTAATGAGGCAACTCTGGGTGGGCTCCTGGATGGTTACTGGATGGGAGCTGGTCACCAGAAAGACCATGATTAGGAGCTTGAAATTTTCAGCCCCACCTCCCCATCCTCCAGAGACAAAATAGAGTTAATAATTGATCATGCCTATATGATGAAGTCTCCATAAAATTCCAGTAGTATGGGGTTCGGAGATCTTCTAGGTTGCCGATCACGTGGGGGGTGGCTGGGAGAATGGTGTGTTCAGAAGACAGCTCTATACCCCTTCCCACATACCTTACCCTAAGCATCTTTTTTTTTTTTTTCTTTTGCGGTACGCGGGCCTCTCACTGTTGTGGCCTCTCCCTTTGCGGAGCACAGGCTCCGGACGTGCAGGCTCAGCGGCCATGGCTCACGGGCCCAGCCGCTCCGCGGCATGTGGGATCTTCCCGGACCGGGGCACGAACCCGCGTCCCCTGCATCGTCAGGCGGACTCTCAACCACTGCACCACCAGGGAAACCCTTTAGCATCTCTTTTATTTGTATGTTTATCTGTATCTTTATCATATCCTTTTATAATAAACTGGTAAACGGTAAGTAAAGTGTTTTCCTGAGTTCTGTGATTCATTCTAGCATATTAATTGCACCCAAGCAGGGGGTCCTGGGAACCTCCAATTTATAGCTGGTCAGAAGCACAGGTAACAACCTGGACTTTCAATTGTCATCTGAAGTGGGGGGCAGGGCAGTCTTATGGGACTGAGCCCTGAGATGTTTTGCTCTCTCCAGGTAGATATTGTAAGAATTGATTTAAAATGTAGGACGGGACTTCCCTGGTGGTGCAGTGGTTAAGAATCCGCCTGCCAATTCAGGGGACACGGGTTCGATCCCTGTTCCGGGGAGGTCCCACATGCCGTGGAGCAACTAAGCCCGCACACCACAACTACTGAAGCCCATGTGCCTAGAGCCCATGCTCCGCAATAAGAGAAGCCATCACAATGAGAAGCCCAAGCACCGCAACTAGGGAAAGCCCACGCGCAGCAATGAAGGCCCGATGTAGCCTAAATAAATAAATAAATAAAATAAAAACAAACAGTAGGTATAAGGAGCAGCTACTGTTCTGAGGGCTGTCTAGGGAAGACCCCCTCCCCCTCCTCCCAGGGCTGAGGGCCAGACTTTGTTGGAGAGAGAATAGCTTTAGCTCACCGAATGGCAGAGAAGTGCTGGCAGAACTGGCTGAAGTCCACCCTCTGGAAAACTGTTCATGCAGGTGTCTTGCTGACCACTCGGATATAAAACTTCCCAACGTGGGTGCTGGAGGGATATGCCAGCTGCTGGGTACTGGGTACTGCTGGCAGCCCCTCACTGCAGAGCCAGGTGCTTCGGAGAACCCAGAGCTGGAGAAGCTACCCTTGATGTAGGGAGGTAGGCGCTTCAGAGGCCTCTTTCTGCAGGTGCCTGCCGAGAAAGCTCACTGGAACCAGGTGGCAAAACCCCCTCCTCCTGCACTGCCTCCCAGCCGTTTCTCCTGGCAAAGCTTCACACTGGGCCACCTGGCAAAGCAGGAATGCTCAAAGGGCCCAGCTCCATCCCGAGAAGAGAAATGAGAGTGAATGTGGAGCTGAGAGACAATATATTGACCACTGGCACAGGAGACAGTACTCTTAAAAAAAAAATCAATTGAGACAAATACTGGTTTGGTGTCAGTTTACATTCTAGCTGTGCTGCAAGGTTCTTACTGCCAGCTTAGTCTAGTGGCAAAATAGTGGGACTGCTGCTGCTGACTCCAGTTTGCAGTGTGCTTTTGGGCAAACCAACCCATTGGGACCTCATCTGTAAAAGGTGGCAGTTATTTCTGACTGTTAAGGTTCCACCTTTTATTCTGATAGGGTCCGGACGGGCTCGCTGTTGTATTTAAACTTTCCTGACCGGTTTGCCTAAGGAAGTCTGACATTGGAACAGACGAAGTCTTAGAAAAAAGCTTCACTGTGGCCGCAGGAATGGAAGGCAAAACGAGAAAAGAAAAGGGAGCGGGTCCTACGCCCCTTCCCCAAGGCCCGGCTCCTCTAGAAGGCCCCGCCTTCGGTTTCCCGCAGGCCACGCCCTTCTATTCTCGCCGGCCACGCCCATCCGCGGCCCCGCCCCTTTTGTCAGCCCCGCCTTCCCCGCCCACAGGCCCCCTCCTATAGCCCCACACCCCACCCTCTTCCCCTCCTCCCCTTCCCCACAGGTTCCACCCCTCCCACCGGCCCCGTCCTCTGCTTCCTGTTGGCCTGAGCTCCCTCTCCCTGAGCGCCAGGCAGGCTGGGAAGTTGGCTGCCGTAAAGATGGCGGCAGAATTGAAAAGCTGGAGCAGCTCCCTTGGCCCTGAGGGGCCGGGAGGGTGGGCTGAAGGCGGGGCAGGCGCGCTCGGGCCCTCCCTGAGGGAAGTGCGGCGGGATAGGGGCGCGATAGGCGCGCTCCCGCGGCCCTGAAGGGGTGGGGAGGGCAGGCGCGTTCTCGGCCGCTCACAAGGGTTGGGGGCGGGGCGTGTGGGCCGAAGGGGCGTGCGCACGCGGGGAGGGGCGTGCTCGCGGGGGCGGGGCCGCGCCCTCGGCCCGGAAGTGCGGGGTGCGGGGTGCGGGGTGCAGGGCGCGGACGGCCCCTGGCGGCCGCGGGCGGAGACTGCGGCCAGGCAAGCGGCGCAGGAGCTGCAGCAGCCGCGGGGCCCGGGCGAGCATGTAGCGGCAGCGGGCGGCGCGGGGCTCCCGGGGCGGGCCGGGCCGCGGGGGCCGCTCGCGGCGACATGGAGGAAGAGGGCAAGAAGGGCAAGAAGGTGAGCCTGCGGGGCGCGTCCTCCCGAAGGCCGGGTGGGGGGCGGGCTGGACCCCAGACCGAGGCAGGCGGAAGGCGGAGGGGCTGGGGTTCGGGGGACGAGGGGAACACGGGAGGGTCCCTCGGGGCCGCCCGTCGGTCTGCCAGTGCGGGGCGTGGGAAAGTCTGGCTTGGGGAGGTCCGTGGAGGGGAGTTCTGATTTGGGAGGTTCGGCGTGGGGAGGCTAGGCGTGGGGAGGTCCGGGACAGGAGTCTGGTGGGACTCCAGCCTGGAGAGGTCCCGGGCGGGAGTCCGGCGTAGGGAGGCCCGGCAAGGGGAGTTCCGAGGTGGGAGTCCGGCGTGGGGAGGCCCCAGGTTGGAAGTCCGGCGTGGGGAGGCCCGGGGGCGCACACTGTTGGAGGTGAGCGTGGCGGGCAGGCCGGGGACCCCGGGTGGACGGCGCACGGTCAGGCCCGGGACAGGGTCGCGGGAGTCGGTCTCCGCGCGATGGAGTAGGAGGCGAGCCCCTGGACAATGGGGTTAGGTGGTCCTTTGCCGGCCGGGTGCGCGGGGGAGGAAGGAGCCACGCCTTTCCGCCCCTTCCGGTCAGTGACTCTCCCCCAAACCCAGGCTCTGCACATGGCCTTCCCCGCGGGTCAGTGACTAGGGGCTGCAGAGGAGCTGGACCCCGTTATGGGCCAGAAAGTTTTCCAGGGTTAGCATCTTGAGAAAATGGGGTGTAAGGTTAATGTAGAAACATTTGCTGCTTAGTTGACTTCAGTATTGGGGTACCAAGTAAAAGCAAAAACTTCTTCATGGTACAGCCCGTTCACGGTCCGGTCCGGCCGGCGCGGGCTGAGTTTTGCTCTACCTAATACCAGCTGAGTGATTTCAGTGACGTTACATTTGGCAGTTGGATTTAGGACACAGTTCAAGAGGCTCCTTAGTCTTTGTAATTTTTAAAATGTGGCTTTAATTACAAGCTAGAGTAATTGATAAAGAAACTCAACATTTTAAGGAGACAAATAACCATGTGAGATAAGCTATCGTTAAAATGTAAAATGGATTTCAATGAAATGTATCTTTTTCAAATACAGGCTTTATAATCGAAGTGTCTTACCTGTTATTTTCGTTTTAATAAATGTGTGTGCACTTTTATGTGCAAGTTTAAAACAGACCTTGATAAATCCTCTGATCTTCTGCTCTTCAGAGCCAGCTGTGTCCTTCAGTTGACGATTACTCATCACAAGGTGTCCCATTTTAAAAAAGTATTTGAAATGAAGTGTAGCCAGGTGGTCTTCGGGGAATTGTGCAGTGCTTCTCCTCTCACTTTCTTTATTCATTGTTTTGTTAGGTTATTAATACACATGTGTAATTTAAGTGCAGTATCAGTTGCAGTTACCTACAAAGATGGTTTAAGTCTGGAAAACAGCCCAAGAAAGTGATTCAGCCTGCAAGCATTAGACCACAGAGGGATGCTGCCCACCAAAAAGGAGGAAAGCTGAGTTTATTTAGTGTTTCTACCAAAGCTGGTAGATGCCTTCACAAGAAATGTAGTCAGTTGCATCCTTTCCTGTCACAGATAGGCAGGTGGGCCAGGGCCCTTATAGGAGAAGGCCTGTCACCAGTGCTCTTGGCTGCCAGCATTCTGTAGATAAGCTGGCTCAGTCCTAGCAGAGGACCAATCCTGGCCACACGGTATCTTCCACAATCAGTCCAAATGGTGCCTGCTAAGGAGAGTTATTCTCTTCATGTGGGTACTAGCCTATCTGAAGGGGAAGGATGAGAATGAATTTTTCCCAGAACTTTCAACCAGCTCTGGAAGAAACATTTGAACATTCCGCATATTGAGAGAGACAGAGAAGTGGTAAGACATTCCTGAGCTTTTGGAATAGAACCAGTAAATCTCAAGAATTTTATAGTGGGGGCAATGGAAAGATTCAGGCATAGAGAAGATTAATACATTTCATTGTCTCTATTAGAGGAGATAACCCGTTATTACACAGTTGCCTAAGCCAGGAGGTTTGTGTTTTCTGGGTACTCTGCCACTGCCGTATCTCATTTTCCTACAGGCAGGCTAGGCAGAGAGCTCTGGGGCACAGATTTCTATCCAGGCCACGACTTAGCACACTTTACCTCTTGCTCTCAGCCAATCACAAGCCAGTAGAACCTTCCTGCTCTGCTCCCCCATTCAATGTGAGGTCACCTCCAACTCAGTCAATTTGATGCTTAAGTTGTTCTCATTATCGTAAATTAACTAGAGCTATCGATTTTAAAACTTATACACAAATTCAAGCAGAAGCAGCGAGTAATGACTTAATAGTTTTATGAAAGTACCATTTGGACATTTAAATTCTCTTTCCAAGTTAGCTTCCTCAAAAAGTGCAGATTTAAGCCTTGTAAAAATGTGGATTGATAGGCTCTTCAGGTCTTCAGATGCGTGTCTTGGTGTCCTGTCAAGCAGTTATTCAGGCTTGTTCTAACGTGGCCTGTTTCCTCAGGACAGGACTCATCGAGCTGCCAGAGAACCAGTAGACCAGAGTGGATTTCATATAAGGTGCACAGGTACAGCCCTGTCCTTACTCAGGCTACCTTGGCACACACGATGATGGTGACTGGAGCCAGTAATGTCCTGTGGAAGGTGCTGGGTGATGGGGTGTGGGAGGAGCTGATGAGAAGATGGGGAGGTCTGGGGTGTGGACGTGTGGACAGAGAAGCCCACTAGCTGCCAGAGGCGTGGGACCTGGGGAGTAGGAATGACCATGGAGGTCACTCTCCTGCCTGAACGTCCCCAGAGTGACTGGTACCTTTCAGGCCACCATTCCTACTTGGGGGTTTGGAGAATGAGACTTCCTCCTTACAGAGCAGACCCAAGTTCCATGCATTTTGATACTCTTCTGTTAGGATGTAATTCCTTTTTGTAGGAAGCTCAGGTGTACACTTGAGTTGGATTATGTGCACTTTTATAAAAACACTTGACTCAGATGCGGATCACAGCCTTTGGGAAGACACAGTTGTGGGAAGTCACCCTTGGCCCTCAACCTTGTTCAGGTCCCGGTTTCTGCTGCTTCTGCTGCTGTCGGGGCATAGGTCGCACCACAGGTAGCCATGATTTCAGCCTGAACAAAGTTAAATAGTTTTACATTGGTCTGTTTTATTTGTATTCTTTAAATGAAAAAAACCAAAGGTTATAAAGTACCCTAGAAATGTAGGACTTGGTGTAAATGATAATGAGGCATTATTATTAATTTTGTTGGGTGTAATATTTGTAATGTTTTGTCAAGTTCTGATCTGATAGACATATACACTGGGGTATTTATAGGTGAAACAATATGATTTCGGAGATTTGCTTTACTCAGACTAGAAAAAAAAGAGGGGAGACAGCTGAATGCTTTGGCAGTGGTTATTCATTATTCGTTATTCTGCTTACTTTTGTGAATTTTTGAAGTTTCCATAAGAAAAGTGGGGAGAAAAATATTCCTCTAGGTTATGGGTCCCCAGTTATCAGCCCACGTACTTGCCAAATCATCCCTTAGCTAGTGTCTGTGAGGAAGTGGGAGTTTGAGCTACACCAGCCCTCAGGCAGCCATACCTTCTCTACAGGTATGTGTGCATATGTGTAGGTATTTGTATCGCTGAAATGAAAGTTTAAAGAAATAATTATTACTACAAGCAGGGCACTCTGATTTTTTTTATTCTGTTCTCTTTTTTTGGTTTTTTTTTAAAATGCTGGTCATGACCTACTAAATTGCTTTTATAACTGTATTGATTCTGTAGGTGTCACAGCCATAATATGGGTTAACAAAGTGGATTTGGGCCTCTCTACCTTGTTTTCTTTCCTCTCGGATAGTTGTCACAGTGATTCTTCGATGGCAGTGTTGCACCCTGGGGTGAGGAGGCTGGAAGACCACTGCAGGAGGTATCTGGTGGAGACCAGACGTCAGGCCGTCGGTAGATGAGTCCAGAATAACTGGCAAACGTGAGGCTCATTCCTCTTCTGGTTTGGAGAATTACCGTTTACATAGTATCATGTATTTATTAATTTTCTGCATTAGGAACTGTAAATTCCCTGGTCTTCTTCAGTCAGATTGATAACCCACTGATCATGATAATTTAGGTTCAGAAAGCACATCAGAATCTTCTAGTACTTTTCTATTTCTGCTCTGAGCATTGTTTGAGAGGAAGACATTTTTATGACCAATAGTACTGCAATAGGGGGCTGCTCTGGAATGGGAAGGGCTGTCAGTGTTCTGCCCTA